ATGTGGTTATTATTTCTGTAGAAATCAAAATTTTTCAATTTCTTAATAGCGCTTAAACTGTCAGTAAGTATTATAAGTCGATTGTACCTTAAGCTGAGGACGTATTTTAACGCTTCTACTATTGCAATCAATTCTGCCGAATAAATGGAAGTGTATTTAGAGAGTTTTGAACTAAATCTAAACTTGTAGTCACTATGATATACTGCGTATCCAACATTGTCATCATTCTTTGATCCATCTGTAAAAATTAAATGGAAATTTGGGTACTGCATCTTAACATCAGCTAGAAAAGCGTATTGTCTAAATGATAGTGGCAGCCTGCTATAGTCTGGGAAAGCGAAAGTATCTGCGGTTAGATTATATATATTAAACTGACAAGGGTAACCGTTATTCCTTTCAGATGACTCAACTACTTTCCTGTATTCTATAGTATCGCAATAACTTTGTACAATTGTGGGAGTAGCTTTATTTTTCCAATATGAACTTGTTAAATGTAGAATAAAGAGTTCGTGCAATCTATTGTATATAGGTGATCTTCTTTCATACAAGCGTAACACCAAACTATTGCTTAATAGTTCCCTACGCCTACTGAGCTGCATAATACCGCTTTCGGCATAACACTTCCAATTTTTTTAGATGACAGTTATTGGCCGCGCCGTAGAACGTAGCGGCGTAGTCAAGAATAGATTGTATGTAAGATTTATAAACCATCACTGCAATGTCTGGCGATGAACCCCACTTGTTACGTGAAATTGCTTGTAACACGTTTAGTACCTTTTCTATTTTGCTCAAAAGATGATTAATTTGGCACTTCCAATTCAACTTTTTGTCAAGCCAAACCCCTAGAAAACAGATATGATCCCTAAGAGGAAATTTAATATTGCCTAATATAATTTCTGAAGGTAACTGAGTTCTTTTCCTGGTAAATGTGCATATCCCAGATTTTGTTTGGGATATATTTATATTGTTTCTAAACGCCCATTCAGAAAACTGGGTGAATGCAACATCAAGATGTTTATACTTAGGTATTCAGGTGCTTTTTATCTTCTGTATATACGCAAATATCATCTGCGTATTGTAAAATCTTTATAATTGGGCTAAATATTTGTTCGAGGTCAGCTACGTATAAAATATAAAGAAGAGGTGATAAGATACTCCCTTGTGGAAAATGTTTTTCGGGGCCCAATTAGACCTTCGTTTGTTTTTACATACACATTTCTGTCAATTAGGTTGATGATATTTCTGATGAATTTGTCCTGGAGTCCAAAATTCCTTAGTTTATTCTTTAATAATGGGGGTTGGATACCATCATACGCTTTGCTTACATCTAAAAATAGTACTGAAACAGAATTCCCTGTAGAAAAAGCTATCATTATATCAATAACCAATTGATCAATGCTATCGGTTGTGGCCCTACCACGCCTAAAGCCATTTTGAGAATCGGGTAGTAACTTTCTAAGTTCTGCATACCACTCAAAACGTCTCTTAATTAGTTTTTCAAAAAGTTTCAAAATGAATGATGCTAGTGATATAGGGCGATAGGAATCTACTTTCCCTGTAGCTTTATTGCATTTTAAGATTGGCTGAACAATATAATTTTTAAACATGTCAGGATACCTTCCATCTAACCAAAAGCTGTTAAAGTATTTCAGTAAGTTTGATTGCATTATTTCTGGCAACTGAAGAATTTGGATGTAATGAATGCTGTCTAACCCAGGATTGTGATATAAATTTAATGAGTTCATTGGATTTTCCAATTGTTTCCTTGTGAACGGTTTAAGTAGGAAGTGGTTGCTATCTGGATCAATGTTATAATCGATTTTATTATTGACAAAAGTGGGAGTAAGTAACATTAAAAAATCCTGAACCCAAGGTTCTTTATTAATTCTTGTGTAATTGCACTCCCTTCTATTTTTTAATTTGCCTATTTCTTTCCATACATTTGAAATTGGAACACTTTTATTTAAATTTTGAACATATCGTCTCCAATTGGCCCTTTTAGTTTGCTTAATGATGTGTTTAGTTTTAGCATCTGACTGCTTGAATAGCAGATAATTGTTTAAATTTGGATTTGATTTATAGTTCATTAACTTAGTTTTCCTTTCGAAAACCGCTAACTGACATTCATTGCTCCACCAAGTCTTATTAGATTTTTTGGTGAGATTGCTTTTAACTCTCGGTATTGCAGTATTGCTTGCCGATACTATTAAATTAATAAAAGAATTGAAGTCCGTACATTCATTGTTACGAGTATTAAGGTGCTCCAGTTAGCTTTCTTAACATTCCAGATCTTATGAGTAAAATATATTGCTTTGGGAGGCTCTACATTAGTTTCAAAATTGATAACCAAATGGTCAGATCCTAATGGTTCATTTGTAACAGACCAATTAAATAAATCCCAAATTTCTGGAGTACAGACAGTGATATCTACCGCAACCTTAGGACTGTTGGGTGGTCTAATAAGGGTAGCTGACCAATCATTTAATATAACTAAGTTACTTTCATGAATTGCATCTAGCAAATAATTACCTTTGTTATCATTCCTATCACAACCCCAAGCAGAATGGTGAGCATTTACGTCCCCGGCCACTATAAATGGTCTGGGAAGAATTGAAAATATTTCTGACCAGTCATCGGATGATAATACCATTTGCGGTTTACAATAAATTGAGATGAGGTTAGTGATAGTTTTATTTAAATGGATACTCACTGAGACGATTTCGGTGTCACGGATTGGACGAACAAAGGATACTCTTGATATTTAATGTTCGCCCTGACAATAATCGCTACCCCACCATAACCATCGTCCCTATCCTTACGTACAGTATTATACCTAGGGAAGTTAACATATTTCCCTGGTTTAAATCAGGTTTCACAAAAATAAAAGCTACATCAATACTCTGATTATTTAAATAATGTTCTAGTTGATCTCTGTTTGCAATTGCTGACCTAGCATTCCACTGCATAAATTTCATGTTGAATTTGTATTGAATTTAGATTTAATTGTTAATAGTAGTTTCTCTAAATCATCTTGACTAATACTATTCTGATCGCTTTTATTTTGTTCAAAAAATTTATAAATTATGCCCATCAAAACATTAAAATTGTTTGGTTCGTTTTTTCTTTGTTTACATTATGGTACCTGGGTGGGTAAGGATTTTTTGGTACGGGTAGTTGTTGGGGATTGAAACTAAACTGATTCATAATTTCTTTATGTTCTTCTTTCCATGATGGCAAAGGTGATATTGTTTTCCGTTTTTTAGTACCTGATTGTGAAAGGGAAGGGAAATTATGTTGATTTAATATAAAGTTTCTATTATCTATGATTCTATCTTGCGGTTTCGTTCTAATGGTATCCTGGTTTGAGCTAGATTTTAAAACCGTAGAATAATTATTGTCTCTGACAATTCTTGATGCGTCCTTGTATGATACATTTTTGTGCGCCATAACTTCCTTAATCTTTTTTTGCGCACTAAACTCATCACATTTACTAAGCTCTGTCGCTAAATTATTACCTCCGCATGTGAAGGCAGACTGAAATTTCGTCTGTGCAATCTTTTACCTCATGACCCTCTTGAGTACATTTGCTACATCTCACAACGCTTTTACAATTACGACCAATGTGCCCAAACCGTTGGCAACGATAACAAATTACCACTTTTTGTACATATGGAACAACCGGGCATACTACTTTATGTAGATAAACATAACTAGGTAACAGTTGGCCCCGAAAAGTGACAATTAAGGACTGCGTTGGAACAAAAACAGTACGACCAGTTATCTGGAAATTCCATAACATATTTTAAGTACTCTTCATCTAAATTTGTATCGACATTCCTTATTACCGCTTTTCTATCTAATAGAAAATGAGGAATATATGCGATGAAGTTATTATCATTTAGTATACCAGAATCGAGAAATTTATTTGCGGAATAGAAATATTTGAAGGTTACTCTAATTTTATTTCTACCGATGGAATTAATTTCGACCACTTGATCATCCAAATCTTTATCATGTAAATGAATTAACTTACCTATTGCCATTGGGTGTGTGTTTTTTGTGTTGTCCTTCGTCATACATTTGATAGGCGATCTCTAGAAAGACACAAAAAGAATTTTTGGTATCAGTACCTAGGCATGTTTGGAAATTGCAAGTTCTATAATAAACGTAAGTAATGCTTGTACTCATACAGTAGGTAAGTAACTCATTTTATTGTTTTTAGCAAGGACTCCAAATTAACACTAAATTTTTGGTAGAGCTTGGCGTTTTCCGTCCTAGTTCCTCTTGGTTTATGTTACTAAATAGAAAAAGGTTCAGCAAGTCTTGCGTCCTGAGGGTTAATTTATTATTAATAGCGAATTTTTATTAATCGAATCCTTACTTCTATGGATATTCTATGGATATTCCTCTAAATAGTCTAAATGGTGGATGGAGAAAAAGGGCATAGGTTTTGGGTTTACGTGCAGGGGACGCGACGAAATGGCAAATTAGTGCACGCTATGGGCTATATAAGTAATTCCAATTGAAAACGTATAGGTAGTAGATTCGACGTGCCGTTAGAATTTTGTTGCTGAAACCATATTGAAAGGTAAAATCCAGCAGCAAAAAACGAAACTTTTGCTATCCAGCTCCCGGCTTTAAGAAAAAATAGAGACCTGGATTACATGTTCACTGGGAATTTGAGGATTATATCTACGATCCAAGCAAAACCAATAGCATGAAATTCCATGAAAATTGTAGGAAGTGAAGTTAATTGTTCAACGTTTAGGTAGAGCAATCTGCTACTTGAATAGTAATTCGTTAATTACAGCTAATCATTGTAAATTCATCGATCTCGGTGTGTTAGGGCACTAACTGGTGCAATCAGCACTCGTTCAATAATCCATACGAACTAACCGACAATTTCTAGTAACTGAAAGTCTCATTAACTTGTACCGTAATTGCACGATACCTTTTTAAATAATTTAATAAGCGAGTACATGTAAAACACAGTGATTACTTGAAGTTATATCCAGCACGTTGTAATAAAAACTTAATAGAAACGCGATAAGCAGACTCACATTGCATGATGCAGGTAATAGCGACGCGACGTTTTAATATAAATCGTCGTGTTAGTTTATATCGTGTTTGTATGAATAATTTTTTTTTGGTAAATGTTAAAACACGCATTGCATTTGCATGATTAGCAAACCCTAAAAAACCGTGTACATTCGGTTAGTAATGGTACCTAAAGCTATTATCAAATGCTAAGAAGTAGATACAAATATTGTGCAGAGGTAAGTTATTGGGTACTGCCACCCGACGCCGACGCTTCGTTCTCGAGATACGAGGAACTATAATAATTGTTATGTTAATTTTCAGAGAGACAGTGAAGTCATCCCAACTATAAATGTACTTTTGAATAAACTGTTTGAAACCAATATAGACAACGAGCGACAATCACAGACGAACGGACAGAAAGTCCAAATGACCAAAATTTAATCAGTTAGTCCCTTTTGATCATTGTCTACCTATGTATCACTGAAAACAGACTTGGAAAATTCGAAACCGTTTGCTAGTTATCATGTACACAGACTCGCTTTAGGAACTCGTTATATCCAATTTACGACAGTCGAAGTACCGTAGTGCACCCAACTGCCATACGAATTCTAGGAAGGTTATGGAACAGAAATATATCAAAGTAAGTTTCAGAAATTCCACCTTGGGTAGTAAGAAAATAACAAACAGTACCTCAAACGGTAGTTTCTATCAGTATTCCGTCTATACCGTGACACTTGCACAAAATGAGCCTTGAAGTAAACAATCTATGTAGCGAAAAGGAAGAAGAACCGCCTCTGCATCTACTGTGTCATTCTGGGGAGTTCAAGACAAGTTCCTCGGAAGAAAAAAGATGTACCCCCCCAAATGCTCCTACAGGAAAATATTCGACACAGACTTTAGGAAGTGAAAATAAAGCTAAAGGGTACAACAGGCTTAAATCCGTGGTACAAAGACGAAATAAGATACCACTTCTAATTTAAGTAAAGAAAATTAATTGTTTATGCAAAATACTAGAAATAATGAGGTCGAATGTAGGCGTGGCTTTTATCAATTCGAGAATGGCTTTATCCTAAAACGGTTCAAGTGTTTTTCGTACGATTACATAGTGTCTTACTAGTTCGTATAAATATTAAATATTAATTCTATTCTGTGAATTTTATTAACTGTATTCGTACTTGCTCCTATTAGATATACGAAATCAATAAAAGCAAAATAAAAAAATGTGTCTTTAAACAATCAGAATTGACGGATTTCGCTGTGTCCGCCCGAAACAAAATCGGTAAACACTTAAATCGTTTCGTTATCGAATTGAGAAAAATACATACCAACTATATACCCAAGTTTTGATTATTGTTTTCACAACGAATTGAGATCGCAATGCAAACTTCACGTGTTTTTGCTTGCCTATTACTACATCTATATTTAGTGGAAGCCCTTGTTCCAACAGAAAAACTGCAAGTGTTCGACTTTTCCCCTCAACTAAGTAAACTAACTTTCGAAGGTTTCTCCAAAAATTGTTCGCAACAGCTATCTAAGTATGTCACGGATCTCGTAGATATGAAGCAATGGGCAGTAGAAAGTAAGTACATAGTGCCCTGTCCAGTGTTAATTACCATATACGGTTTTAGTGTACGACGCGTCCGGAAAGTATCCAACAGCGACAATAGACGGGAACGCCTTCGCACTGGGATCTTTCGACCAGTGTATAAATATCGCTGAAGGTCCACCAGGAACGGCAATTTCTGGAAAGTACTGCCTTGTTAAACCTCTTCCGAGTTTGAGGACGGAACTTGTAAGTTTCATGTGGTGTAATAGTCCACGAATCATATCACTTGACTAAATACGAGTAATTGAATAATAAATTCCCAATCGGCAATCACGACGTTGAAACTGTCGATATTTAAGTTTTTATGCCAAAAATTGAATTTGCAGGGGTTATTTTAAAAATTTATTATTCGAACACGGTAAAAGATATCGCAAAACAATTTTCACGACTTTTATGCGTATTAACCGTCTAAAAGTGAGACTATACGTCACTTTTTAAAAGCTCTAAACTTTTAAATTTTCAAATTTCCGTAACTCCATTTGTTCAAATGGTACTCCACACACTTTTTTCTTGTTTTCCATAATTCTCATTTTTGGTGTATTAGAATCTGGAAGTAACACGTGAAGTGCGCCATCGAATAACAGGATCGTTTAATGTTTTTTGTTCCATCCAAAGGCAACTCATGGTAATGCCATAAAAACGCTAGAAACATGTTTAAACCAAGAGGGGGAATATTTGGACATATTTTAAAACGTCAAATGTAGAGATTTGATACTTTTGTTACTTTTATTTGATATCTTTTCAATTGTTAAGTTCCGTCATTAAATCCGTAAATCAAAACTTTACTAAATATACCGTGAATTTTATTTTCAACGATTTTTCATTGTGTGGTTTTGTCTTCTCATAATGAATCTTTTTAAATTTAAAATAAAGGGTCAACTATGGGGAATCGTTGTACTCCAAATCCGACGTGTAGAATCCGAAAATCTAGAAAAAATAGGGGACCCCTATTTAAAACATCAAAGTTTCATTTTCAAAGGTTCTACATATCTTTCTAACTAACGCTCGTCAAGAATGACCCTGTATAGGGTTTAGTTCTTGTTAGTTTCTAACTAAATTTTCTCCTTTTAGTTAATACGTAGGTACATTTCAAGTGTCTTATCCTTATTACACTCCTACACACAATATAGGTTGTTAGTTTAAAGACATAAAGGAAGCGTAGTTTTATTGGGAATGCAAACAAAATATTCTAGCTCTTTTTATTACATGATCATAACTGCAAGTTGACCTTATTCTTAAAAATGTAATAGACACATTATTACTATTATACACGATTAAATGTAAATTATTATACACAGTTGCTGGCACTACTTTTTAGAGTTTATCAAAGTTTGAAGAATTGCGTATTGGTTTCTGCATACCAAGTGCGTGCACACCAAAAGAACTTGAAAACTATTGTACGAATAGCGGAATGGTAATCGTATCGGACGTTTCTTGCCAAACGAAAGAAGATCATTTCCACTTCGACATCGGAACCAAAATTGTTTTGTATGTGTGGTGCCTAATGATAATAATGTTGAAATTAATGAATTTTCGCAGAACCTTTTTTGCACTGTGGATTTTGTGGATAATATTCTCCACGATCTATGATATAAGAATTCAATATCTAAATAAGGGTTAGTAACTATAAAAACTTGCAACGTTCATAACTGTTCGTAATCATTTTAGAGCCATCGCATTGGTTATTGGTTTCCTTTTCCTGTTACACAAACGCCAAGAAACTTTTTGATATAACCACAGACGAAACTGAGATCGCTTGCTTAAATGGAATTCGAGTTTTAACGATGATATGGATCATTGTAGTGCATCATCATTTGAATGCTTATAATTTTCCATATAGGAATGACCACAAAGAAGAGGTAAGAAGAGCTAAAACTTTCCAAACTCTATTGTTCATATTTTAGTTTTACGCTTCTCGTATTACAAGGGGTATAATTGCCACGGGAGCCGAGACGTCAGTCAATACTTTCTTTTTGTTAAGCGGAATGACACTGTCCTATGTTTTCATGAGAAAAACTGGCAATCTTGGGAAGTTTAATCTATTGGCGTTTTACGTTCACAGATATGTTAGATTAACACCAACACTGGGCGTCATTGTTCTTGTTTACGTCTTCTTATTGAAGTACATGGGCTCCGGGCCCTTGTGCCCCGAAATCCTTGCACGAGTATCTGCCCCATGTGAGAGAAACTGGTGGAAAACCTTGCTGTATATGCAAAACATTGACAGATCGGTAGTAAGTAGATTGATGGGATCGCCTTAACCTAGGGAATGTTTGCAAAGACTTATATGTAGTTCACATTTCTTCATTGGTATCAAATTTGCATGATATGCATGGGCACAAAACATGCAAGGGTTCACTCGCTAGAATAATGCTGTGGTTATTGAATATGAAAACTGGGTTTGCTGGAAACAGATTGGCTAGCCCCTTCACAGTTAGCCAACATAAAATCATCACCGGTATTTTCTAATTAGAATATCAACGAGCACACACAACTGCCCATTTGGTTTGTCTAAATTTCACCCGCAATTTATTTATTTATTTATGAACATAACAGGTTACCCCAATAATAAATTTCATGTACATAAAGAATATAAAAAAATATATGTTAAATGTTTTAAAATAAAAAAAAACAAAGGAAAACAACACTTTACATTTACTTACAATAAATTCTAGTTTGAAAGTTTTACTCCAAGCAGTCAATACTGTTAAATTGGCTTGCAATTCAGCGCAACCGGCTGTTGAACTTATAGACTTAAACATTAACAAAAAGTAAAAATATCAATGGCCCCAAGTTTGAGCCTTGAGGCAACCCAAAATCTGTAAAAAAAACTCGAGAAATATGATTCTTGTAAGAGACAATTTGTGAACAACCCTTCAAATATTATAATATCAACAGTTTTATAGTAATGGATCTGACAAATTACAAACATTTGTCACCGTAGATCTTAGATCTTAGATAGATATACAGGATTTACATGATCATACTTATAGTCATAGAGTATACTTTCAAAAATGTTTGCAGGAGTGGAGAGTACAACAACCGGTCTATAATTACTGATAACTCTAGAATTTCCGGATGTGTGAATAGGAGTAACTTTAGTTAGTTTCCATTTGCTTGGAAATATATTAGTTTTAATAATTAAATTAAATATTGTATGCAATGGCTTTACTAGATATTCACAAGCCTTAAAAATATATGGTAGAATTCCATCGGGTCCACAAAACTTTTTTGACTTAAGACGCTTGATAGCTAATTCTATATCACAAATCGTGATTTTATTGTGTAGTACACTGTCAATATTTAAATATACCTCGCAGAACAATCAGATTATATGGATTTAAAATAGTCCGCAAAACAATTGGCAATATCCTGAGACTTATAATATTTTATGTTATTGTATGACATAGATAATAATTCAGTTGATCTTCCATGACGCCTCATATTGTCAATGAAATTCCAGAACCTATTACTGTTATCAGCAATATCTGATTCAATTCATCTGATATATTGTAGATAGGCACTTTGAATTTCATTTTTTATGTTCGATCTTAAATTCTGATATACCAATAATACCAGTTGTCCATGCAAAGACACTTATTTTGGGGCAGTCTGTAAAAATAACGCGTTGTAATCTTGTAGTGCGTAGAGCAGTCCTGGTTCCTTGGGATGGACACGCAACTCTACCTTCTGTCACCGCTCCTGCTTTTGCCTTTACTAAAAAAGCCAAAGTTAGCTCTTTACGCAATTGGATGCCTTGCCATGGGCTGTGTGGCTTTGAGTATTATGCCAACGTTGCTCTTTCTACGAGATGGAAACCAATATTCGTAAGAGAATCAGTTTCGATATCATCCTAATTCATCGACTTATTTTAGCTCGACTATTAAGACTATCCATGATCGGGCGCCTTATAATGTGGCAGGTCCTTGGTTGCTCGGAATTATTATGGGATACGTCATATACAGGAACAAGAAAGCTAAGTCGGACATAATCATTAACAAAGCAAGTCCGACGATAAATTATGAAGCCTAAATTAGTTTAAGTTTAGATCTATATTGTAGTTTTCTGGACGGTTGCCGTTTCTGTGATACTAACCTGCATGTTTTATCAATTTCACGGTGCTGAGTTAATGGTCATTTCAAAATCTGTTAGACGAACTGCATGGTCTCTTGCTGTTGCGTGGATCGTTTATGCCTGTCACTTTGGATATGGAGGTGAGTAGGTACTTCGTATACTGCTCACTGAGCAAAAGTGTTTTCATCTTTCAAGGGATAGCAAACAGGTTTTTGTCTAGTAAAAAATTTAAATTTTTATCAAGGATATCGTACAGTGTCTTCTTATCGCATATATTGATTCAAATCATCCTAATCGAAAGCATGCAGGTGCCTGTCGTTTTAACGGAAAGTTATTTGGTAAGATGCGACTTGTAAATCATTCTCAGTGCTACATGTTTCATTATTTCAGTTGGAAACAGTATGGATTAACTTTGCCATTACACTTCCTGTATCAATTTTTCTAACAATAACATGTGAATTGCCACTCATATCCATCGAGAAAAGGATATTCAGCAGTCCTAGGAGTAAGTACCGATGAGATTTAATTGCGTCCATTTAATTGGTTAACTTTGCATTTTAGATCAAATAAGGAATTCTCCTGGGTCAAAAAACATCTGATGTGACCTTTGGATAACGTTAATCATCCTTATTATTAACCACTGAGATTATAATACTATAAGTTATTAGAGGAGACACCTTTTCAGTTATGCTAAGAGTTAAACTTATTGTTGATATGGCAAGTTAGTCATTAGAGACGAATGGTTATAGACTGTATAATGGTATTTGTGTTCAAAATAAAGTTTAAAATTGAATCGGTCACTGGATTTCTAGTTTATATTTACTTAACATTTTAACGTATGTTATTGGTAATCAGGAATAAAAAATAAAGCAACCTCTGAACTGGACGACATTGATCCTCCTCCTGTTGAGGATTTCTTTATTATTATAAGTTGTTGCATAGGAAATGTTGCTATTGGTTTGTATAAACAGTGTTGTAATAGATACTTTCATTCTTGGATCTAGGTAAAGATACAGATACAACTTAATAATTATAACTAGATACCAAAACAGATACCCAAAAACAAAAAGGATCTAGATACAGATACAGATACTTTAGGTATAAGTACTTTATTTCCCATGCTTTATGCCAATAAACAGTTGTCCATACCCCTCAAGTAATAAAAAGCGTTTTGTCATTTGAAAATATAATTTTAATACATCATTATAATATTGACTAATGGAATTAGACAATAAAGAAAATAGAAAATGTACTTAAAATCTTAGACACAAAAAAAAGTATCTGAATTGTGGATACAGATACAAATTTTGAAATAGTATATTAAGATACAAGTGTATAATCAAGTCTTTAAAGCACGCGCAACGAGTTTAAGGGCACGACGCAAAGTGGAGTGCCTTTAACGTTGCAAGTGCTTTAAAGACTCAATTATACACGTGTATCTTATAGTATTTTTTATTATACCTGCAGTATAATTTAAAAATAGGAAATACAATGAAGTCATATTGACGTTATACTCGAATACATGTCTAATTAAGTGGGCTGGGTGTTCGTATTTCACGATTGCCATGGAAATGTCACTTGACGTTTGCTTATAAAAATCATCGTCTTTGTGAATTAAACGATTTCCGTTGAAAAAGATAATACACCGCCCATTAAATCGATTGTTGTAAAATCTAAACAAACGTTGGTAGGTGTAAAATCCAACTCCTGTAAAGCCTATTATAAAGTGGATGAATAGGAAGTTACTTACGAATACAGTCTTAAATGCATCCATAATGCTGGCATATATGAAAGAAATGTCAAAGGTATTTAAATCTTCTATATTTTGGTGCATTCATTCAAAACTTTAAAGAAATGCTGCGATTAAAAAGTGGAACCGATTTGGAAGCATGCCCTAAATTACGCGCGTTTGTGAAAGCTTCAACCAAAGGATAGATACAAAAGCCAAAGAAATGTTCTGCATTTACAGAAAGCGACCTAAGAGGAGTTTTTATTTCATCCAGATGACAGTTTCAAAAGTCATACTTGAAGTATCGTTACTTAGCAACTTTAAAGCACGTGTGTTTTAAAGGCCCTTTTTCGCACGCATTTGAGTGTTTAAAACGGAGATTGTGATTCAGGTATAATAAAAAAGATTTTAATATGTATCTAGATACGTAAAACTGTCACGTTTGTTAATGTCTAGGGTCAGTTGCACCATCAAAATTAAGCATCGCTTAAGTTAAGCGAACTTAAAATCTATCGCAACGATTGTAAGGAAAATATGGTTGCTATGGCATTTAAGTTATGCTTAACATTAAGCGATACTTACGTTTGATGGTGCAATTGGCCAGAAATAAATTAACTATTTTAATTTATTTCTGAGTTTCAAGGTGGCTTTCAGAGCGAAGATGAAAATGACGTAAGTTTCAGTATCGAAGAAAGTGTTGAGGTAAGAAAGTAAATTCTTGTAGTTGGGTTGAATCAATATTAATGGATAGCGTAAAGGTAAATTTTAGAGGTTAATATTTTACCTAACTCAATATTTTGTAAGTTAAAGGCTGAGAAAATATTGAAGGGCACTAGAGCGATGTTAGAAGTCTTTGGAGGCACTAAAGTCAAGCCTGTAGGTTAAGTTTCACTTAACTGTGCCGTTAAGAATGAGAAATTGTTATAAGACTATTGTTGTAAAAGGAAATTTTATACCTTTACTTGGTTTGAAATCATGTATTGAATTAGATAGCGTTAAAACGTATAGTACTAAGGATGAATTTGTGAACTTTAATAAGGATCTATTTATACAGGGATTTAAAAAAAATGTAAAATAGAGCTTAGTGGTGATGCCATTCCAATTGTCCGTCCACCTAGACGAGTACCAATGTCAATTAAAAGATAAGTTGTTGAATACGCTGGGTGATTTAGAGACGTGAAAAATGATTGAGAAAGTCGATTTAAATGTCGAGTGGGCTAGTAATCTGGTAGAATCCAGATGGAAATTTAAGGGTATGTCTAGATCCAGTAGATTTAAGCAAAACGTAGGTTATTGTCTGATACCCACAGTCTCAGAAGTTTGTAGTAATTTAATAGGAAAGAAGTGGTTAACTGTACTTGATCTAATAGAAGGATTCTATCACATAGAGCTAGATGACCATTCTAGCAAATTATGTACATTCAGCTCGCCATTTGGGCACGACAAATTTTTCTAATTACCATTTGGAATAAGTATTCCTGCTGAGATGTTTCAAAAGATTATAATAGTAACAATTTTATACATATTTTATGATGATCTGTTAATAGCAGGGTCCACTCTTGAAAAAGTTCTTCAGAAACCTAGAGAATCAAATTTAATCCAAATAAAGAACTTAATAATGTGAAATATTGAGGACACATATTTTCCGATAAAGGAATTCACCCTGCAAGTGACAGGGATGTACAATTATTTACCTGGTAAGGATTTGAGGGTGGCAGATACTTTATCACGTAACTTTCTAGAGACAAAGTAGATGACGATTTAGCTATGTTACAGGTAGTTTATATTATTAGAGGTTTAGTTAATATATCTGATAGTAAGAGAATGGTTTACAACAAGAAACTGAGAATGATGATATTTTAAAAAAGGTAAAAGTGTTTTGTGCTACCAAATGGCCTTAATAAAAGAAAAGGGGAAATTTTATATTAGAATCATTGCAAGAAGATTAAAATAACAAAAATGGGTTACACGATATAGAAAATATTTTGCTACTGGGCAATAGATTAGATGAATTTCATTTAATATTTTTTGTGAATTTGGTAAAAAAAACTTTTAGCTTCGTTGCGCTTCTTGCGCAGGTTAAAGTTATCATTTTTCTTGATTAGCTCTTCAATTTCTGCACACTGATCCATTTTTTCTTCGCCTTTCGGATTTCCTGTTTGATCTTTTGTTGTATTTCTTAGTGCTTTTAACGGTTCCTGTTGTTTTTGAATGTTCTCCGTTCCTCCATTAGATTTAGAATGTGCTAGATCCACTGTTGTTTCCTTTTCAACGCTTGATGACCTAGCAGACTTTCTGCTGTTTCATTGATAAACTGAGTCAATTAGTTGACCGTCTTTGTCCGCTGTTGGTGCGTAGACCTGGAGGACGTTCAGGTTGACATTGTTCCCTGCTAACGTTCCGATATACCAGCTAAGCGAATTACCAAATTAACCAACTTCAATTTCAAAAAAGCAGATTTTCTTAAAATGTACGTCCTTTTTCGCGATATTAATTGGAAGGAGTCTCTTATCCTGAAGAATTTCAAATCGGTAGATGATGCAGTAACTAGCTTTAATCAAACGGTAATGAACATTTTCGATGAATGTGTCCCCAAAGTTACAATTAGGAGTGCACATAAGTATCCTAGCTGGTTTAATATAGACATTATTAAGAAAATCAAACATAAAAATAAGTTTCGGTTATAGGGCCAATCGGAAGACTTCATTGAAGCCAGAAAAGAACTCAAAAGAATGATCCATATTGCTCATAAGAGGTGCATTAATCAAATTGAAATGGATCTGCGGAAGAATTCCAATAAATTCTGGAACTACATCAAGTCGTTGAGGAAGAATAGTCACCTGGAGTTTTTGAGTACAAAGACACCTCGTTAACGGACGCCAGAAGCATTGCGAATGCCTTTGCATCCTTCTTCGAGTCAGTCTACACTATGGAGAGGAACGATGACCCAGAAGATGACGTGGAATCGGACCTGGTGCTATCCAAATTGCACTTGACTCAGTTACATGAATCCGAGATACTGGAAGCAATTAAAAAATTGAAACCGAGGTCGGCTATAGGCGAAGATGGAATCCCACCCTACATCGTGAAAGGATGTGCATCTTTATTGGTAACCCCCTTACTACATCTATTTAATTTAGCTTTGCAAACATGTACATTCCCTGAAGCTTGGAAATGCACCAGAATAACACCAATTCACAAAAATGGAAGCCGAAAATTAGTTGAGAATTATCGCCCAATTGCAATTATACCAGCAATAGCGAAAATTTTCGAAAGAGTGATCTATACTAGACTTTATTCCCATCTCAGCAGTATAATTGCAGATCAACAGCACGGTTTCACGCGGAACAAATCAACGATTACCAATTTAATGCAGTTTACGCATTTCTCAGCAGGAGCCTTGGATGAGAGAGCTCAGGTGGACTGTGTTTATACAGATTTTGCGAAGGCATTTGACACAGTATCCCATCAAGTCTTGCTCCGTAAACTTGTTTTAAATTGCGTAAGTAATCCGACCGTCAAATTCTTGAAATCATATTTATCTCTCCGTAAAACAAGAGTGAAATTCAATGGTGTGAATTCAGCCGAATTTTATCCCTCATCAGGCGTTCCCCAGGGAACACTTGGTCCTTTTCTGTTTCTCTTATACATAAATGATTTACCGCGAGTGATAAAAAACTCGAAAGCACTACTATTTGCGGACGACCTAAAACTTTTTAATGAAGTCCAATCCCCAAGTGACTGTTTAAATATTCAAGAGGACATTAACTCAGTAATTAAGTGGTGTATCAAAAATAAACTAAAACTAAATATCAATAAGTGTAAAGCGAGGTGTAAAGTCCTTACTTTTACTAGATCAAAAAATCCCTTACTTTTTTACTATAAGATGAATGGAAAGGTCTTACTAAGAGTCACCTCCGTTAAGGACCTGGGCGTGTTTTTCAATACCAACCTTAACTTCAACTTACACATTGAATACCTAACAAATGAGTGTTACAAACTTCTTGGTTCCGTTATCAGAAATACACTCAATTTCATGAATATACAGACAATGCTAACCTTATATAATGCATTTATTAGATCCAAGCTTGAGTATGCTTCATGTATCTGGTCTCCTCAAACTCTCAAATACTCAGACATGAAAAAGTGCAGAAAAAGTTCATCCGAGTAATGTTTTTTTAGGTCAACCCAAAATTATCCACATTTGATCTCTTACGGTACCCAGCTTCACAACTCTTCCGAATTACTTCAAGAAATTAAGCTTAAGGTACCATTTGTTAAGCTAAGACAAAATAATACTATTTTTGTAGTTAACAATACAACTTCCCCACTTATTAAGATCTTGATCACTTTAAATAAGTTATCCTCAGTTAATGATATCGACTTTTTTCACGATCCCCTAAATTCAATAAGAAATAAAATTAGATCTTAAGTCCTAATATTTGTTCAGAGCCCCAGTGCCATGTAATTGGAATTTTTATTCTGTATGGTTTCTGGTTAAATAAATAAATAAATATAGGGTAAAACTGGTGACTATATTTGTTGGTCAGTTGTTTGTGGATAACGAAAGTGACAACCTACGTCCGCTTGGTGTTCACTTTTCCTCCGGAACAGAATACGTGCTAGTCATTTATTCGAAGCCATTTAGTTTCACTTAGACCGAGTATGTTGATGCTCATACGTTCCATTTATTGTACGGCATTGACTAATTATTCTCCTGGTTGTAGTAGACTTTTGACGTTCCAAGGGGCTATTTTCAGAGAATACTTCCTTGTAAACTACGAGACTCTTAGCAACCCTCCCCCGAGACTCGGGGCCGCTGTTTATCTTGTTTGCTACTATTGAAGTTTTCAAGGGAAAGATAATCTAGTAGCTTCCGTTGATTTCTTGGATCACAACCTTGAAAAGGTCGTTTGTAGCCCTTACAACCTAACAAAATAAAAGTAAATTCTATAATCACGAAATAAAATTACGAGCAATTGTAGAAACTATTAAAAATATTAAAAATGATCACGCCGAATCTAGTTAAAGCGTAAAATGGTTCAGGTGTTTTTCGTATAACAAGGACATAGTATAGGTAATTGAATAAATTATTAGTAAATATTAATCTTAATTATTGAATGAATGAAAGTAAATTCAAAAGATGTGTCTTCAAATTGACGAATTTTACAGTGTTCGCCCGAAACAAAATCGGTAAACACTTCAATCGTTTCAAGGTGTTGACACTATCGAAATGATAAAAATACCACAAGTACTATGTGTATCGATATTTTTTTCAGAACGATCGCAATGCATACTTCGCGCGTTTTTGCTTGTCTATTATATCTGTATCTTGTGGAAGCCCTTGTTCCAAGAGAAAAACTGCAAGCGTTCGATTTCTCCTCTCAACTAAGTACACTCACTTTCGAAGGTTTCTCCAAAAATTGTTCGCAACAGCTATCCAAGTATGTCACGGATCTCTTGGAGATGAAGCGATGGGCAGTAGAAAGTAAGTACTTAGTGCCCTATCCAGTGTCAATTATCATAATATCTACGGTTTTAGTGTATGACGCGTCGGGAAAATATCCACCGGCGACACTAGACGGCAACTCTTTCGCACTGGGATCATTGGACCAGTGTATAAATATCGCTGAAGGTCCACCAGGAACAGAAATTTCCGGAAAGTACTGCCTTGGCAGAGTTACTCCACGTTGGGAGATGACTTTGGAGACGAAAACTGTAAGCACTAAAAATTGCCGCGTTTGGTCATATTTTATGATATAAGAAACACAAGCATTAACTGTCGATGATTTCAGCAAAAAGCAAATAATTTTTTAAGCAATCGACAATCAAATCACTTCATTATTAAGAAAATAATAAATGCATTAATCCACCATCTCGTTTTGCAACCCCACCACACAACTTGTCCATCCACACAACAACAGAATTCTGTTACATATTCAGAATTTCTTCTTTTTGTTATATGTTCATTATTACAGTTAAACTTCGTCTGAAGAATTAATACAGACACACCTATTATACAGAGCTGGGCAGTATTCGATTTTGTAAATACTTTTTAGTATTCAAATCCTTTAAATTATTAAAATACTTTGTAATTAAATACTTTTATGGAAGCAGTATTTGAATTTGTAACTCAAATATTTTCATATATAATACCATAAGTAGTCGAAGTATTGTCGAATATTTTTGAGGTGCTGTCACGAATGCTAGTTACGCTGATTAATACCACGAGCGCTTGCGCGAGTGGTATTACAAAGCGTAACTAGCGTGAGTGGAGCAGCAGCTCAAAAGTAATCTACAAATACTTCGACTACGAATGGTATTCGGAGGACTATTCAATGAATCAAAAGAAAAATTAAGCATAATTACCCACGCGAATGTATTTCCATGACAACAATAAACGTCAAAATAAATTATGGAAGTTGCTTTTCATTTTGCTATTGATTCTATTCGAACTTTTGTGCTCCAAGCTAATTCGTTATGAGTGATTAAATTAAAAGATGTGGTGATAAGTCGGTTGTCGAAATTGATTAACAAACTAAGAAGAATGTTCCGATTAATACGACAAAATTTCGCGTCATTTCACTGGTGGAAGTTTGACAAATGTCATTGAATAATCGCATTGAATTGTCGCTGAAATACCACACGTGAAATTATCGCTGAAATACCACACGTGCAATTATCACTATAATTCGTTTCCATTGGCGCAGCAATTTGAAATCGAGACATTTCACTGGTTGAAATGTGACAAATGTTAGATGAATTGAATAGTCACAGATATTTAGTATTCGAATCCTTCGCAAAGTATTTGAATACTTCGCATAGTATTGTCTTATTAATTTTGGTGCGTAGAATCCAAAACAATTCGTACTTTTTCGATCAGACTTCTCAATCAAAAGTTATAGACTAGAAACCAATTTCCAAAAAAATTCAAAGAGCTGTAGTTTTTGATCTAGTAGCCCAATCTTGGAACTGTTTGAAATTATGGATTCTACGGGCCAAATTCTATAAGAAAATGTTTTTCCGGGTCGAACTGAGACAATTTTTTTTGCGGGCCTCAAAAAAAGGCAGTGTATAACCTTCCTTCATTACCAAAAATCGACTACACCAAAATTTCTCGGGAAAACACTTTTTCTTATTAATTTTGGTGCGTAGAATCCAAAACAATTCGTACGTTTTCGATTAGACCTCTCAATAAAAAGTTATGGACAAAAAACAAATTTCGAAAAAAAATTCAAAGGGCAGTAACTTTTGATCTAGTAGCCCAATCTTGGAATTATTTGAAATTATGGATTCTACAGGCCACATTCTATAAGGGTATTAAGCCTTTTATCTATTGTACTATTTTAAATTTTTAATGTATTTGAGTACGTGACAAGTATTCGAATACTTTTCAAAGTAAGATAATGAAATACTTTTCAAAGTATTCGAATACTTTTTATAGTATTCGAATACCTTTGAAAGTATTACCGAATACTTTTGAAAGTATTCGAATACATTCTAAAGTATTTGAATACTTATTTTTTTAAGTATTTGAATACTTTTCAATGTATCTGTATCTAGTATTCGCTTGTGCTGGACGTAAAAGTATTTAGTATTCAAATACCTTTGATTTGTGTAAAGTATTTACTATTCAGTATTCAAATACTTTTTGAAAGTATTCTGCCCAGCTCTGCTATTATATGTATACGATTAAATGTTAATACGAACAGTTGTCAGCACTATAAGCTTTTAGGCTACATCTCAATTGGATGATACCGTTATTGGTTACTGCATACCAAGTACATGCACAGCAAAAGAATTTGAAAGCTATTATGCAAATAGTGGACTGGAAAGGGTATCGGAGCTTTCTTGCCAAACAAAAAAAGATCATTTCCAATTCGACGTCGGAACCAAAGTTGTTTTGTATGTGTAGTGCCTATACGAATAATGTGGAATACAATTTTTTCTTGCAGAACCTTTTTTGCGCTGTGGATTTTATGGATAATATTCTCAACTGCTTATGATATAGTAATTCAACACTTGAACAAGGGTTAGTAACTAAAATAAGTTGCATTCACATTCATAATTATTTTAGAGCCGTCGCATTGGTTGTTAGTTTCCTTTTCCTGTTACACAAACACCAAGAGACTTTTTGATATAACCACAGACGCAACTGAGATCACTTGTTTACATGGATTGCGAGTATTAACGATGATATGGATCATTTTAGTGCATCATTATTTGAGTGTTTCTAATTTTCCGGAAAGAAGTAACTACAAAGAAGATGTAAGTTCTAGTACTAAAGCTTTCCAAGTTCTATTGTTTATATTTTAGTTTTACGCTGCTCATATTACAAGCGGTATAATTGCCACAGGAGCCGAAACTTCGGTCAATACTTTCTTTTTGTTAAGCGGATTGACATTGTCCTATGTTTTCATGAGAAAAACAGGCAAGCTTGGGAAGTTCAATCTATTGGCGTTTTACGCTCACAGATATGTTAGATTAACACCGACACTGGGTGTCATTGTTCTTGTTTATGTCTTCTTATTGAAGTACATGGGATCCGGGCCGCTGTGGCCCGAACTCGCTCGACGAGTGTCTGCCCCATGTGAGACAAATTGGTGGAAAACCTTACTGTATATTCAAAACAGTGACAAATACATAGTAAGTACGTTTGATGGGATCACTTACCCAGGGAATGTTTGCAAATACTTATAATGGGCATTCCTTACTCGGTATAATTTGCATAAGGAAATTAACCCAAAGGTCTGGAAGCCGACCTCTTTCATTACAGACCTTGAGAATCGAAGGTCACAGTAAATTCAATGAACGCCACCCTCAGGCAGTGAGCAGTGCCACGTGAGCACGGTGGTACTGTCGAATCTCGGCCGCTAATATCGGATAGGTACCTTAAAGTGTAAAAAATCCAACAAAATTTGTTTCTTGGGCTACCTGGGCTGGGGTCCTGCTAAATAAGGGTTGCCCGAACGAAAAGAAGCACCCTTATTACATTGTTGGGTTAGAAATTCCAAAATGTTCGTTATTGAAACAACGAGGGGTAGTATTTCGTTCACAGAACTCACACTAAAGTTTCCACCAAGGTTTCCACCCTCCTCTATTTTGTTTTACTATGCTCAGCTCAGCTTCAATTCGACATTGGAATTATAAACTCTTTGTTCGGGTTTATTTTATGAAAAACGTGATAGGTATATCCTTATGCCAGAAACTCCAGCTTGAATTTTATTTCAACATCGTTAAATTTGTCTTATATTCATATTTTGCAATAGCTGGTTAAATGACAAATGCAATATACTGCTCCCATTAATTAATCAATAGCCAGTTTTCAATTTTCTAGATGGAATATCAAATATACACAACTACTCCTTTGGTTGGGTTCCTCTTTAGTAATACCAACGTTACCCGTGCAAAGTGCTAGTTTGTAAAAATAACGTGTTATAATCTTGTAGTGCGTAGAGCAGACATGGTTTCTTGGGATGGACACGCAACTCTACTTTCTGTCACCACTGTTACTATTGCCCTTACTAAAAAAGCCAAGATTAGCTCTATACGTAATTGGAGGTCTTGCTATGTGCTGCGTGGCTTTGAGTATTATTCCAACGCTGCTCTTTATACGAGCTAGAAGTCAATATTCGTAAGAGAAGTAGTTTCGATATCACCCTAATTCATCGACATATTTTAGCCCGACTATTAGGCAGATACATGATTGGGCCCCTTATAACGTGGCTGGTCCGTGGTTGCTTGGAATTATTTTGGGCTACCTCATATACAGTAACAGTAACAGAAAGGCGGACACAAATATTAATAAAGCAAGTTCGAAGAATTTTATTATAAGGCATAATTTACTTTAAGTTTAGATCTATGTTGTAGTTATCTGGACGACTGCCGTTGCTGTGATACTAGCTTGCATGTTTTATCGATTTAACGATACTGCGTTAGTGGCTATTGCAAAACCGCTTAGACGAACTGCATGGGCGGTTGCTGTGGCGTGCATCGTTTATGCTTGTCAATTTGGATATGGTGGTGAGTAGGTAGCTCGCATACTGCTCATCAAAAGTTTTTTCACTTTTTAAGGGATAGTAAACAGGTTTTTGTCCAGCAAAATATTTAAATTTTTATCTAGGATATCGTATAGTGTCTTCTTATCGCATCTTTTAATTCAAGTCGTGGTAATCGAAGGCATGCAGATGCCTGTCGTTATATCGCAAAGCTATTTGGTAGTACATGTGACTCGTACATAATTATCAATGCTATACGTTTCATTATTTCAGCTGGAAATACTACTGACTAACTTTGCCATAACACTTCCAGTATCAATTCTTTTAACAGTAACATGTGAATCCCCACTCATATCCATCGAGAAAAGGATACTAAGCAGTCCTAGAAGTAAGTACTTACCTATGCGAATTACTTATCTCCCTTAATTGGTTAATTCTGCATTTTAGATCAAATCAAAAATTCGGCGAGTTAAAAAACGTCTGTTGTGGCTTTTGGATAACGTTAACCGTCCTTATTAATATCACTAACATTAAAGACAAACAGTTAGACATTGTAATATATGTGTAATTCAAGTAAATTTTAACATTGTATCGATACAAATATTAATTTAATAAAATAAATAATTTAATTAGTAATTAGTAAAATTGGTGGATTTTACAACTGCAGTTTTTTATATTATTGTTCACTGCACTTAACCCATACCTCACTCAGTTCAGGTGGCGCTCATGATATTGTACTCTATACTATACTGTTCACATATTCACAAATCCTGTGAAATTAATACAGCTTTGTTGGTATTATTTACCTGCCACCCGTTGACCCATCGCTGGACTTTGAAAGAGGCTAGAAAACATTGCTGTACCTGAGAGGTAAAGTATACTAAGTCACAAATTCAAAAGTTTACAGAAAACCACATTATAAGAAGCACAAAGGAATAATTTGACCTTATTAACCTATACATTTGATTACTTTCATCATGAAGAACCATGTTACTTATAACTAGTAAGTTTACATATGTACGATCGAATTTTTGAAATTTTATCAAAAATTTTTGTTTTACGTGACTTAGTACTGTTTACCTTTTATGAATTGTTTGGAATGATGGACTTATTATTGTTATGTGTAAACCAATTTTAATACATTTCTGCTCGAAAAGGGGAAGCAAGCATGTTTCATCATGTACAGGGCGTGGAGATTTTTTTCCTGTATGAAATCACAACTCAGATTAGAAAAAAAAATCTATTTCTTTGATAAACAGCTTATAATTCAATAATTTTATTGAAATTAAAATACTGTTCAACTATTCATCTTCTTCGTCGTTGTAAGAAAGAAATGGTCATCATTTTTTAGAAAATTTCCTCCATAAACAATAAGAAACAAGTATAAATTTTTTGAGGATTAAAGCAGATTTTTAATAAGACACTTAAATTGAAAAATGACAGCCATAAATGGGATATTATAATTATAATAAATAAACAAGTGTAAATTGTGCACAACCCTTGTGCAGATAAAGCGCATTTTTGTTTAACCGATATAGCTTAGTGAATGGTTGGGTTATAAGGGGAGGAGGCTCTTTACACACAAACATTTAAACACCGCCTGACATACATTCAAAATTCTCCGAGACTCCATTTTGCAGATTTTCTTATGAGAGTACGTTCCTCCGACAAACCGTTTTCGAGATATTCGCTCTTAAAGTTTTGACATCACCAATGGATATATTTCTTGCAGATGTTCCAATCGCCCTTTGTGAGTCCCCTCTTCCGATAATCCGTCCTGGAGATATAAGGGAATATCCAAACACGATAAGAAGTCGAGGAGGAGGACTATGGTTGATAGAAATTAATTCCTTTCGTTGAGACCTCTCATTAGGGTACCATGAAGGATAAAACCAGTTCCACTCTCATCTCAAGAAATAATTGATGGGGGGGGGGGGGGGGGGGTTAAGACAGCGAAATTTGATGGCCATTTGAAACACCTTCAAGGTATATGGCTACCTACTGCAAAAATTCCTGGACTCTAGAAGTAGTTCGAAACGGCAGAAGTGGGACGGACGGACAGACTGACAAAACGCAAACAATAGCACATTTTGTTATTCTTAAAAAATGCGCTAAAAAACCTGAAACATATTCTTTATAATGTACTAAGTCCATCAAAACAATACAACTATTGATACTAAGTCCACTTATTACAGTTTACCTCGTAATGTTACTGCGACTTAGTACTGTTTAAAATTCGCTAACTCTGTTTATCATCAAACAATACTAAATCCATATATTTTGTGTAGAACAACAAAACTTATGTTGCTTAGTACAAAAAAGCAATTTTTGGGGAAAAATGGACTTAGTACAGTTTACCTCTGAGGTACAGGCGAACATTTTTCAATTAAAGGAGGAAATGAAAAATTATACGGAGCATTTCATACGTTTTAGACAACAAAAAAAGCATGTATTCTCTGTGTTGGAGAAGAAATAGACGTTTTTATTATACCTGAATCACAATCTCCGTTTTAAACACTCAAATGCGTGCGAAAAAAGGCCTTTAAAACACACGTGCTTTAAAGTTGCTACCTGAGTTGCTAAGTAACGATACTTCAAGTATGACTTTTGAAACTGTCATCTAAGGCTGAAATAAAAAATCACAGCCGTCTATAATTACAAGCCATGCTGAGAATTATAGCAACACTGCATGGTAGGCCGATTTCCTAATTCAACTTGACAGATTTTGGGTGTATTTTATATGTGTTTTGGGTGTAATATTCCAATTTATCTGTTTTAACAGAGCGAGATTGCGACAATTTGTGTTACTCCGTACGGAATGAACAGAAGTTATTATTCAGGTAAGTTGCTAAACGAAATATATCGATTTGTTGTCATAACCTCTAAAGCAGGCTACTGGTTACTGGACCCTTTACAAGCACTTGTATTTGTTCAAAGTACCTGTACAAGCTCAAATATGACCTACACACTACGTGGTACGTAAGTACGGTAAGTGTTTATCGTGAAAAAATACAATTAGTTTGTATTTCAGGTATTCTAGCACGGACATGTCAAATCGATTTTCTGAAGGGAACCTTTCAACTTATTCCCAAGAGTTCATGGTACGGGAATTTGAAGTCTACAGTGCTCCCCTCTTTAAAAGCTTCGTACCTACACCCACTGGAGTAGCGGCTGGCTTAAAGTCTGCCATTTCGAATCATACCTGGTCGTTGATAAAACCTCGCTGATGCGCAGCGATTTACTGTCCTTTTACCGAAATTAAGTGCTCAAGCGTGTGCTTCACCTCGACCTGTTTCGACAGAAGTTCACCAATTTCGGAGATCTCGATGGAAAACACATTATGATGCAGTTACCAATTTACAGCATTCCGAATTTTAAAGTCAAATAAAAATGTTATTATCCATTTTTGTAAATAAATAATATATACGCACAATTGTAAGCTGCCTAAGTATCTTTCTTCTATATTAAAACCGCTAAGGCGAAACACAGGGGAGAGGAAAATGCCATTAAAACTTACATCGGCCCACCGATTGACTTTCGAACAACGTTGCCAAACTTCTCAGCATGGCTTGTAATTATAGACGGCTGTGTAAAAAATCCTCTTAGGTCGCTTTCTGTAAATGCAGAACATTTCTTTGACTTTTGTACCTATCCTTTGGTTGAATCTTTCACAAACGCGCTTAATTTAGGGTATGCTTCCAAATCTGTTCCACTTTTTAATCGCAGTATTGCTTTGAAATTTTGAATGAATGCACCAAAATATAGAAGATTTAAATACCTTTGACATTTCCTTCATATATACCAACATTATCCATGCATTTAACACTGTATTCGTAAGTAACTTCCTATTCATCAATGGAAACAACTTTTCATATTCTTTATAATAGGCTTTACTGGACTGGATTTTACACCTACCAACGTTTGTTTAGATTTTACAACAACCGATTAAATGGACGGTGTATTATCTTTTTCAACGGAAATCGTTTAATTCACAAAGACGATGATTTTTATAAGCAAACGTCAAGTGACATTTCCATGGCAATCGTGAAATTACGAACACCCAGCCCACTTAAATAGACATGTATTCGAGTATAACGTCAATATGACTTCATTGTATTTCCTATTTTTAAATTATACTGCAGGTATAATAAAAAATACTATAAGATACACGTGTATAATTGGTCTTTAAAGCACTTGCAACGTTAAAGGCACTCCGCTTTGCGTCGTGCCCTTAAACTCGTTGCGCGTGCTTTAAAGACTTGATTATACACTTGTATCTTAATATACTATTTTCTTACTATGTTTTGCTTACAGTATGTCCAGCATTTAGTTTCATGTGGAGAAAATACAAATTCCTATCTTTATTCCCTGTTTTAGTTAATTTCTCACAATAAACAGTAAAGTTTTTCTTGAGAATATTACTACGAGGCCATTTCACGTATCTGTAAGGATAAGGACAAAATACATTACATGTAAAAAAATGTTTACTGACCGAAAAACAATTTTTTTTATGAAAATGTTGGCAGGTCATTTTATAGGTGGACAAAATTACAGCAATTTGAGGCAAGGCAAATACAAAACGCAATGACGCGATTGATTTCTATCAATTAGAATTAGATGGGGCCTTTATCCTAAAACACTTTAAGTGTTTTTCGTATAGTTACATATTGCCCCAGTACAAAATTTATGGTGGGTAATATATTAGTATTTCTTGCTATTATCAATAAATCAATAAAATCAAAATCATAACATGTTTTTTTATACAATGAGCAATTAACGGATTCCACAGTGTCCGCCAGAAACGAAATCCAAACACTTAGTTTCAAGGTATTGACACTATCAGATTGATATAAATACATTTCAACTACACGCGATTTGATAATATTTTTCAGAACGTTTTGACAACGCAATGCAAACTTCACGTGTTTTTGCCTGCCTATTATATCTATATTTTGTGGAAGCCCTTGTTCCAACAGAAAAACTGGGAGTGTTCGATTTTTCCTCTCAACTAAGCAGACTGCCGTTCGAAGATTTCTCCGAAAATTGTTCGCAACAGCTATCTAAATATGTCACGGACCTGTTAGATATGAAGTCATGGGCTGTAGAAAGTAAGTGCCTTCTTAGTTCCTTGTCCAATGGTAATAATCATATCCGGTTTTAGTGTATGACGCAACGGGAAAGTATCCAACTGCGATAATAGACGGCAACTATTTCGCACTGGGATCTTTCGACCAATGCATAAATATCGCTGATGGTCCACCAGACACTGTCATTTCCGGAAAGTACTGTCTTCTTAAATCTTATCTGGGTGATGAGCTGGTAGGTGCCTTACTGATTGAATAATTAATTCTTACAAATTGCCGTATTTTTTGATGTATGAAAGGGTTATTAACGTTTTGGGTAAACATAAACATTATGATACCATTTTTTACTCCAATTCAGCACCTCCCTTACTAACGGGCGGATGGTAAAGATCAGTAGAATTGACGCATTTAAATTACATCGCGACCTTCTTCGTATTACGTGTCAAGGTGCCCTATCACATTGTTTTTCGCATTAATCGTCGTGAAAAGCTGTTTAGCGCATTTTCC